GTGGGGCAATATGGTATTCAATCCCGTGAATGAGGCTGGCAAAACGAAGCATTGAGAGGAACAAATGTGTTGAAAATCAGGATGTTGCACGAGTTTGGTCAATACCTGTATTTGGGGACATTAGCAGATCTGTAGCACTGCTGCTGGTGAGGTTACCGAAAACCAAATAGAGGTCATGTGAACAAAGAGTATAATTTGATAACTGGCAAACGGGAGGAACGTTTCACACTGTTTCCGCTGAGGACTGCTACTGATAAACTTAAAATGAAATATAAATGTCACTCAAGTAATATAATGGTAATCAGCCATAATTGTGTTGTATAACTCTCGTAACAGCATATTTGAGTTTATTAAGATATGTAGTACGAAATTATAATACCACATACGAATACACGATAAAACGACAGCAATATTGCAGTGTTCGAGGTGAAAAAAGTTTTCGCAATCGATGGAAATGAAGGTATGAGTGCTATATTTTTAGGGTCAAATACTTACAGACCTGTTTGTGAATCAGGTTCATTTTTATTAAGGTGACATATTAGTATTATGAACGAATATGCGGTTCCCGTTCCCCAGAAAATTTCAACTAAGTTCGTACTTAGCCGGAATTTCATTTGACAAGGTGAACTTACCAGTTTTGAGAATCCATCGAAAAGATGATGATGAGATAGCCAAGGGCTACTTCGATATACTCTCAGCCTAGTCTTATATATTGTGCTCAACTGTATTCTTCTAGGCAGTGGGAAAATCGCGTTTAATGGGCAGTGAGTGAACGTTTTTCAGGAGATGCTTAGTAATTACTACGATCGAATATGACACTGATCACGTCCGACTAACAATTTGTCAATCTTTGAAACCTAGCACCATTTTGATGAACCAAGGAGTGAATACGTTGGACGAATCAAGGTGTAACTAGTATCAGGAGGACGAGGTTAGATAAAGATGAAAATAATGCACCCCTTGAGGTCACATCTATCTCATGGTCAATGGAGTATGTAATTGACAACTGAACAGAGTGATCACCACTCTTGCGTGTGAAGTGATAATCTCGCGACGACGGAATTTATCTTGTTTTTACAAACGGTAAATCCGTGCCTACCCGAGACTCCGTCAGTGAAACTTTGATGGTTTCGGTAAGCTAGTTCTATTTAAATTTTGTGTGAAGTAACAGCCGATTGGGCGTGAGCCCATTAGAAAGTAATGAAATGAGTAAACCACTATTTTATTACCCGAACGACGTTTGTACGAGCGGTTAGGGTCGACTGATATTTTTATGATGTGCTCTGCTTCTTCTGATTTTTTTCTAATCGCTTTGCACTATGCACGTTTATGCATATATTTGTGTTCAGCAACCTGTCTTCAGAGTCTAACTAAAATGTCCGCTACCTACACAATGCGCTTGGTGGTGCGTCAGTCTCGTTGCACATTGAGTCGCTTTTGCGTCTCAGTGAAATCCTTGCTTTTTGTTTGCTTTTATTCCGCTCACTATCAAGGTTAAAGCATGCGCTTAGGATCAATCCACACTAAAAAAATCTCACTGATTATTCACGGGTAAATCGTGCTACGCGTAGTACATAACCACAGTAGTAAACAAACTAGGTGCGATTGTCGACGAAAAGCACTGGACAGCTGTTCGACCCTGTTGAAACTCATCGAAATCGTACGCTACATTTGTCCCTTGCAGGACTTTGACCGCAAATTTTCGAGTTGGAAGCCGAAACTGTTGCTCCTGAGCCGCACGGTTCACGGCTCATCCTTGACTTTTTAACGTTGTAGAGTGTCGTCTTCCTTAAATTTATTATGCGCAGATGACAACGGGGTGTGTTTATTTTTCCTTCCCGTTTTCCATTTCAATCAGTGACCTCGTGTTCGGGTTAGATACCGGCAGAAACAAAAAGTGCACACGGGTGACCATTTTGGCAAACGTGATGCAACATTTGTCTGGCGCGTTTGGTCTACCTGCAAACAGAAATATATTTCTATAAGGTTTTATATATATACGATGGTCAAGTGAACTCAAAAAGGATAAGAAGTACGATAGAACAACAATTCATGGAGATTTTCATTCCGGGAATCGTTATCATATCATGCAATTACAAAATTTTACTTTTTGTGGGCAGCATAATAAGCGATGTAAGTTTTTAGATCCAGGTCAAAGTCAGCAGGTATTCAGTGATATTTCAGAAGAAAATACTCGTTCAAATTCTGTTTAACAGATACAGATATGCTTTAGTCTTAGTATAGTGTAATTCAAAAGCACTTTATTGGAGTAAAAACGCATACAACTGTGTGCCAGTTGCGTTCCGCAGTAAGTCCCGTATGCCTGCGAGAACACCAAATGAGCATCGTTACAGATGGTTAAAATCATGCATTACTGAGCGATCAATTTCATCGATCAATAGTACAAACAGTTAGTTCTCAACCGTGTTACTCTTGTGTGCAGCCCTTACGTCCAACGAAAATAGCGAAATTAAATCACTTTATTAAATGAAAATAAAACTTGGTTAAGAACGTTACCTTGCGGTCTGTAAATGGTTGATTCAATCTCTTTACCTGATGGTTTTAGGTACTTAGGTGGAATGTGCAAAACGTTATCAATCAGTATGAACTTTGTTTGTGACAATGTTTAGTTGTGTATTCATATTCCCCATTCCCAACACTTGCTGGAAAAACCAATTTTTTCAGGACTACATGCTCCAAATTCATTTATGCATTACGTTTTCGCAAACAAAGGCCAGGAATTAATAGCCAATTTGGATCACCCTTTCATGGTGTGCTAATTTAAGACTTGGTAAAATCAATTCAATCCATCTGAAGAATGTAAGTGAAGTCAATTCATATGATTATGTGGAAAACGGAAGCATTTATTTAGATTTCTATGTAAAACCAATGATATGGCAACATTCTGAATGGATCAGATTCCATACCTTACCGCACAGAATGGAAGATGCCTAATGCATTAGGTAAATTAATGTGACATTTAAATTAAACTACCACATTTGCGCAAATCGAGCCAAGTGGAAGTCCTTTTAACGATGGTATTCGTGGATGGACCAATTCACTGCGTTGATCTTAGTTATCAGTCGCAAATGATCTTGAATAAATTGGGACCCTAGTCTTTGTCCAGAACGCACATTACTTGCCTTACTTTGATTTGAATTTTCCATCACACGACATTATTTCGATTGGCCGTTTTCTTTTGATGAACTTTTTCTATACCGTTATTTATAAAAGTGGAAGCAGATTAATGATTAGAATAAAATAGAAGAACAGGAAAGCTGAATAACAAAAGATTTTAAACAACGTTTCTAACTAACCAGAAGGGTGGTTTGTTTGCTGAACATTTGAGAAGTATATTCGCTTATCAGTCTCATTATTTACCGGAAGTTAAACACTTTAGCGGGATGTGAGCAATGGATATCCTCATTTCAAGACCTATATCTGTCTGGGCTGGTCAGAGCCAAGATCAGACGGGTGATTCGTGTATCTTCTTCCGGATTCCATATGCAACGCACACAACCCAATAATAACGGTCATGCAAAAGCAATGCTTATCATGCTTGGACGACTATGTCACTCACTGTCCAAGTTGAGCTTGAAACCAAATTCATCTCTGTGGGTTGAAGCACAATTTACGCAAAAGCAGAAATTGTAATACCCTTACCAAATTTCCATTCATTTCGAGTGTGCCTCATGATCATGTGTTATGGACTTTCGTGCTCATGGTATTTCTACTGTTTCCCTTCCATTAGGCAATTCTCTTTCCAGTGAATATGCCCGTCACAGCTTACGCTGAGACTCAACCCACATTCGACAGTTTCGAGGAGGCGTTCAAAGATAGCGATCTACTGGACACTCGATGCAAAACACACGATAAAATAATCCTTTAATGTCACAAGAATTCCGAGCATTACGTCTTGAGACGATTCAGGCAGTAACATTCAAAGGGATACGTGTCTGCTCGACGTGATCTTGTCAAGCTTTTATAGACGACTATTCTTCAACCAACTTCTGATCTCAATATCGTCTTCGAGCTGGTTCCTGAAAGCCCTTGATGAAATGTGTTTGCTTGTGGTGAAAATGACCATAGAAACTTAGGTTCTGATCAACTAGATTGAAAGGTAACAACAATAGATGCATAATTATTCTCACTTGTCCATCGAGCAGGGAAATTTGTTTCACCACGGTTTCCTCAACGGTGAGGTGACGTTTTCAGTGCTTGTGTAGTGGCCTTGGTTCCTGATGAAACGTTTTTGAACAAACTTCCAAACTCAGCGAGTCGGTGAAGATGATTTTAGTCCAGTCGAACTATGAGAACCGATTTCCGATAGTGTGTAAATGGGCGGATAATGAATCAAAAGCGAAGTTTGTCTGACTCTCTCCAACCACGTATCTGTGAATAGACATACATCATAGGAAAAATACAACCAATAAATTCTGCTTATGCGGTAGGGCGTAGTTTAGAGGAAACGTCCATAAGCAATCGATCTTCTAAGAAGCTTTTGGGTATTGGATGTCACCAAAGCTCACTCACTCATTCTTATTTAGAAAAATAAACGTGATATTCTGCTCAATTGAAACAAAGTTAAGTCTTTCAATGGAAAGTCCTTAGAATTGCATTGTATCATTCTTTATTCTGAACAGTTGCTGTCTTTTACAGCAAAAATATTCAATAGCCTGAGTCCCTAAAAATGTACATAGAACACGAATCACTTGTCCTCCTCTTTCCTATCTTACTCCCGTAAGCATAGCGAACCNTACTCCCGTAAGCATAGCGAACCGTTCACACCATCCATGCCCTAATTACGGTTGCATTTCACCGACGGATTTGTGCACCAGTTTGAATCGCGTGATGCAGTTGAGATAAAATCGCATTGCAAGTGCGAGTTAGATAACTACCGGAGTCCTCTGTTCCGTTCGAGTGCACGATATGGATGGTGACCACAACTAAGCGCTTTAGGTAATCTTCCTATTTGGTTACTGACCGACTGATAATTAATTAATTTTTGGACCTTATCAATCAAGTCTATAGACGACGATCAGTAGTTTGAATAGAAAAAGCGAATTTCCAACGGTAGCAAGCAAAACTAGCAAAAAGGAGCTATGTTATCTATTAAGTCATCACCTCATCATCATCATCATCATCATTCGTCACGCATTGTCACGCTATCCGTATTGGGCGCATTGTCCCAATTTGATGGAAACTAATGCGTAAACGGTATTTGATGCCCCAATTCCACTGCATGCGCATTTCTGTTAGCCTAAATAGTGTGAGACTGTTCCATTTGGTCATATTTTATGATACCTAGTTTCCAAGTTCAGGATCGCGTACAGTGGACATTCAACTCTCTATAGTTTAATGATGTTCAGTGTGATTAAACATCAGCAACGCTTTTCGCGCTATGATATTCGCTTTATCTATCTTTGTCTAACCTTACTAACCTTTTGTTGCCGGCAAACACTAATCGATTCTATTTGTCACTATGGATTCGACTGGAGCAGTTTTGGGCCGTTTTTAGTGAATCTCTATGATGTTTTCGAAAACGGTCGACATCGTGCATACATGAGTGACACTGAAGTAAACGGACTTCGGCTGACAACTATCATCAAATTTTAAAGATACTAAAATATACAGAAGATGCTGAAAAACGGCTACTAATGTTAATTTAAGCACGACGGATCCCCAAATGAACACAATACTATTGTGTCACTCTGCGGTGCGGTCGTTCACTTTGTGCGCACTCTTATTTCTGGATGTTTCCTTTCCCGAAACGAGTCGTGCAGACTTGTGGGTTTAATTTTGTAAAAATACTTTCGTGATTGTTTATTCCATTCAATTCACGCTCTCCACTGACATTCTCTGCCTCGACTAGCATTCCGGAATACTCACACCATACAAAAGGGCTTGTGTTCTCTACCTGTTATCAATGATGAGCTGTTCAAAGAACAGTCGTTTCGGTTTCCAATTCTGCATATGGCAATGAGATACGGATTCATTCATTTCTCCTCCCGTGGCCATCGATATTAATCGATTATACCTTTTGCAAGTCAAGTTGTCCCAGTATCATTTCAAGATGTCCCCGAATTATTTCAAGATGTCTGCGAATCACTTCAGCACCGGTGAGGTCAATGCGACAACTCGAAATAATACGAGGACACCTTGAAATGATACTGGGACAAATTGAATTATGATCAGTCAACTTGAAATGATTTACGGATATCTTGGAATAATCCGAGGACATCTTGATATGATATTGGGACAACTTGACTTGCAAAAGTTATAGTACCTAGTCACTCAGACTGATCCCAGTCTTTGCGACAGCATTCCTGTTGACCATCACCATCGTTGATCTATCTCGTAAGCTAATGTCACGTAAATGTGGACAATCGGAGTTTTTCTACTCATGCCGCACAAACATCGGAAGTATGCGGTCTAATTGTGTTTGGAAATATGGCCAGTTGCATGTACAGAGTTGTATAAATTATTTTCATCAATTGTAGTACAAACTTTCGAAAAACGGAATGCATTTTACCTTTTGCAAATCAAGTGTCCAAAATCATAGCAAGATGTCTGGCCATCACTTGCAGATTTCCTTGCTTCATTTCAAGCTGCCGTGTTGACCTCATCCCTGCTGAAAAGCCTCCCAGTGATGTCTGGATGACCGCCATGCAGCACCGATCTCTCTACCTCCCGTTGAAGCGCGGGGGACTATTGTGAGATGCGATTTGGTCACACACGCCTCAATTCCCATGAAAAATATATCGGTTGTTTATCCTGCTAGTAAGCGTACGCCTCTGTGTGTGTATTTCTGTGTTTGTGTTTTTGTCCAACTCCACTGATACCAGTGAATCATGCGCGATCACCGCTTGAGTCATTGCATAGCTCCATCGCATGCTGCTGCAATTCAGTGTGATTGATCCATTGTTTTACATCATCTCGTTCCACTCACCCGTGACCTAAAATAAGTAAATTCCCTCTAATCCTTTCTGAGATTTGATTGGATCATACTCCGCGATCTGTGACACTTGAAATCCCTCACCCCAACACGAAATGGTCGGATTACCGGCTTGTGCATTTTATAATGCATTGGTTGTTACGCCCAGTCCATCTGTGTGGTGATGACTTTCCAACTGCACGGTTGAAGTTCACTGGGCCTGCCCAACACACACGGTGGTAGACAAGGTATGGTTTGTGGAGATACAGGTTGTGTGAGGCTGAAGTGGATCAACTGGTTGTGTGGATCAGCGAAGCTTGCACACTGTCCTTAGAAACGCTGTGATTGAAATGCAAGGCCGAATACGATAAAGAGGTCTGTTGCAGCACGAATGGCCACTACCTGAGCGGCAGATTGATCACCATGAAGAGAGTACATCGTATCTGAAAAATAATCAGTTCGTGGGAAAACAAAGCAAAGTGGAGAATACAGCAATGAGAAACGATGAATAAGAAAATTGTATGGATTGATGAGACTAAGTTTGTGCCCCTAATGATTGCATTTTCTTCCAGCAAATTTTAACCGGTTTTGTAATCGGTGTCGTGAATGAGTCACGCGAGGACAGAAAGCACTTTGCACGATTGCTAGACGCAGCATATTATCGGTGCCATCTCAAAGTGCGAATTGGTGAATTATACGTTGAATTGCGGCTTTTTAACGAAAGAAATTTGTCAATTGTGGCTGCAGAGCGTCCTTAATGATTTACCGGAGTTTGTGTGGGACAACGCACCTTGTCGTTTTGGCTTGAAGGCTGTGCTTGATGAGCCTGTATATTCTGGTGCCATGTTGCTGCCCCTTGCGCCCTATTCTTGAGCAATAAACCCAAATAAAGGTTTCTGGAGTGCAATAAAGTATTATATAAAGCAAAGCATGAGTCAGCAATACGCGTGTACTTGCGGGTGATCCATCTGACGCATTGTCTGCGAGAGGAAGGCGGATGCAGTACAAGGAGAAATGTGCACCGGCTGCCAAGATGTCTGTAAATCCACAAATGTGTGCAAATATGATTCAAAGTGCATCTATGATTTACTCGAAGGCGGTCAATTATGGGGACATTTGAATAAAACACGATCACTTCTTCATTAAGAACGTCTTCTTTTTCTACTAACTGACTAACTTATCAAGCATTTTCACAATTTCTGATTGGTGTTGGCTTCGGTAATCACGATTCTAAGAACGACCACGGTGATCTTCCCATAGTGAACCTGAATTGAGAAATGCGACAATTGCAATACGATTATTAGAAGACAGTTTGCACTTACTGTTTATGAATGTCAAACTTTAACCTAAATTCACCCGGTTTACTTTGTGCGATGGAGGTGTCTAAATATTGCTGTATGATTTCGTTGATAAAGAATATCAAATTTAAGACAAACACTCAAAAAATTGCATTTTGGAAACACTCCAATTTTTAAACTACCATTTTCTTATAAAATTCCGTAACCGTTATAAACGTTATGGCATCCTTCGACAGCCCCCGTAACACTATTTCTGGTGCAGTTGATATGATAGATATACCTCATTCCGTTTCGAAATTACAGCCAAAATGGTCATTTTGATTCTTATTTGTGTGAAGGTGCTTCTGTGGTGGTGTCACAGAGATGGATTATGACCTGAAAGTGTCCAACAAACTGGATGTGAATCTAGTCAATACTGATGGGCATATCGATGGAGCATGATCTATTGGTGTCCCAGTGCAGTCGCTTGAGGTGTAGCTTATGAATTCGATTGCAGCATCATGCGATAGAGCGGTGATCGCGCATGATTCACTGGTATCAGTGGAGTTGGACAAAAACACAAACACAGAAATACACACACAGAGGCGTACGCTTACTAGCAGGATAAACAACCGATATATTTTTCATGGGAATTGAGGCGTGTGTGACCAAATCGCA